TGTTCTTCTTCAGCCGCCAGAAGAGGATGCCGTAGCGACCCAGGCGGCCCGCTCGGCATCTGGCCGCCTGGGTCGCTATGGCGATTGTTACGCCACTGCCCGGCACCAATAATGATGCGTGGCTTCACAGATCTTCAGAGCGGCCAGTGAGCCCTGAAACTCGAGGTGCTCCAGACAAGAGATGAGCTTGTTGGTCTTCCGCTGCTCCTTTAAGCATCCAGTTATAGGCTGGGGGGAGGGGAGGTGACCTATCGTTATTGCATAACTGCACTAGAGATCAGTCAGGTCACCGGGTGTAAATCTGAGGACCGGCTGGGCAGAATCGTAAACCCTCAGGCAAGTGAACTGGCTCCCATCTCTGGCTTCAGCTTGGAACGGACCGCAGTGTTCCCAATTTTGGCACTTCCGATAGCAGTGACCCCTAGGCTAGGTCCCGGGTGGGGGAGGGGCTCGGGCTGGTCCTTACCTGCGCTCGCTGGCCTCTGAGGTAGCCCCGGAGATACCGTGTTCCTCTGCATATTGGACGGCTGTGGAGACAGGAGTCGCGGGTCTGTGAGCGATGCCGTCATCAGGGACTGCGTGACCAGAGAGCCGGCCTGGTTGCTGAACTGCAGTGCGTTCTGATTGCTCACCGGCACCGTCACCGGCATGGCGAAGTTGGGGGCTGGAACTGCAGACTGAACACAACAGAGCCGTGAGATCACAACAGGTGCATCATACGTGTGCGACATACATACATACATACAAGAGAACGCTGGAACGGCTCGCGGGTTTTTGGGGATATATTGAGAGACATTTCTCGGGAATCGTCAGCGACTGAAAACAAAAGCAGCGGTTGAAAAGTGCGAGGCGTTCGCATGACAACCGCCGCGGGCGCGCGTTCGCCGAACGTTAACACGTTCACCAATTAACACTCGGCTCCGCCGAACGTTCCCGCGGTTGATAACGAGCTGCGGAGGGGGGAACCGAACGTTTGATTCACGGTTCCCAGTGGTGGCCCCCCCCCCCCAATTTTAAAGGGGACCTTGTACGGACCGCACCTAT